ATATTTATAGTTATTTATATATATTTAGTTGTGTATTGATATTTATACTTTTCATTTTTTTTCTCATTTTTTAAATTCTCATTTTAATCAAATGTATGATTTTTTTTTTCATATTGTATTAAACTATTGAACTTATTTAATGAGTTTGGTTGCTGTTATATCTTTATTTAATCTAAAAGTTATTAATTAAATATTTTTATATTTTACTTTTTTTTATTCTTTAAAATTTTTGCTTTTCTTCATGAAAAGGAAGTTGATGTGTTTCCATTATTTTTTGTATACAAATATGAGACGAGGTACGCGAGGTATATCTTCTTGTAGATAGCAGGTTGATCCAGAGGGAGAACCATAGAGGCCACTTCGTCGTCTTATTTGGGGGCCTTGTAAGGCTGTTTCTATACAGCAGCAGCTGCCCAGTTTGAGCCAGCCTCCTGCACAGCAGCAGCTTTACATTTTGACTCAACTTCCCACACAACTACAACAGGAGCAACCCACTGTTACTCACCACCATTGGACGATGACCAGTACCCTGGTGATGATGCAACAATGGAGGAGGACACTGAAGAGCATAATTTGGAGGCTGAGTTGGATACTGAGTTTGCTATGCTTGATCCTAAGTTAGATATTCAATTGGAGAAGGAGCTATCACGTGCTGTCCCGAAGACAGGACGTGGTATGGATAAAGGAGATGATGCTCCTGCAGACTCGAGTCAAAGGAAGTTGCTTAGCCTTAATCGCCGAGGCACATTCAGCCATGAGAGGTTTGGGAGGACTGCCACAATAATATGGAAGTACTTGTATGATGAACTGGTGCTTTTTTGGTCTAGCTGGCCTGAGGAAAAGAAGAGGGTTGCTTGGGAGAATTTCCAAGTAGGAAAATTATACTTATATATGAAGTATTTTTTGAGAATTTATTTAGATGCTATCATTTTATTTTATGGCATTTGATATGGAAGTATAAGGTATATTTTATATGATTTTTTATATTTTATTTATTAATAGTGAAAAAAATGATAATTTAAACAAACTTTGCTCTTTTTTTAAGAAAAGTCAAATAAATTATTAAAATTTAATTTTTTTTTCATTGCAGAAGACATATTATTGGGAAGAAGATGATACTCGTGTGTATAAAATTTGAAGATTACATTGTCGGAACCATTTTCGAGACAAGCTTCATCGAGCTCGAAAGGCGTGGCTCAAGTACAAGAAGTTGCCCGAGTTCATGCATAAGGATACCTTTAAAATTTGGTTGGCAAAATGGGGGAGTCCAAAATATATTGCACTCCAGGAAAGAGGTCGAAAAAATCGAGCAAAGGGTGGCTGTGTGACCCACACAACTGGATGCCTTTTTATTGGGATCCATGAGAATTGACTGGTTAGTAGGATATATTTATATATATATACATATATAAATTATTTTTGTTTACCATAAAAATGGAAATGTTATTGATTTTATTGATGTTTTAATAAGCAGCTAAAAGAGGGGTTAGGTCGACACCTTTAGAGTCGTACTTGTTGACTCACACGACTCGCCAACCTGATGCTCCAGAAGATGCCCCACCCACTTGGATATATCCATAAGCTGAGCAGACATATGTAAGAATCTAGTTCTTTTATAATATTAATTTTATTTATTTTTAATGTCAATTTTGATCAAAAGAAGAAAAGTGATACAATTTTTTATCCATTATACTTAAGAAATGATTATTTTTCATTTGATTTCCCATTATTATTTGAAATTGCTAACTAATGAAAATTTTATTTTTGAAACAGAACGATGCTCACCAAAAATATGTGGAGAAGTATGGGCCAAACAAGGATTCATGGCCAGAATGTGATCCACTTATCTGGAAGGAGGTGGTTGGACCTCCTAAAAAGGGTCAGATGAGAGGGATGTCTACATTACAGGATTCAGCAAAGCATGACAGCCCTTGGTGATGGTATGACATGAGTGAGGCTTCCTCTTCTACCACCAGGATTCTTACGACACAGGTCCAGCAGTTGCAGTCTGAGCTTACTCAAGTTCGGGAAGAAATGGCTGAGCGAGTTCAGACAAAGGTGGTTGCACGTATTTATACAAAGGTATCTCATAGAGTATCAGAGATGGAGGCCAGCTTTGAGAGGAGATTCCAAGAGCACATGTGCTTACTTAGCTAGCAATATTCTATGAATACTACACAACCCCAGACTGGTTATCCTTCTTTTGTACCACCCCAGACTGTTGATCCTTCTTTTGAAGGATTTAGACCTGATCACTTACCACTTCCTACTTAGAGACATTGACATTTTAAACTTATATTATATATGTTTATATATATGTACTGCATATGTATATATATATGGTATGTAGGATGAGAAGTTAGTATATATTTATTAACTTAAACTAGTTTTTAGTTTTGCAGTATTTGAGTTTAAATAGGTAAAATATATAATATTAATAAAATTTAACAATCTTATAGTAAAAAGAAAAAAATCACAATATAATATTTCACAAAGAAATAGCACATATATATTTATTTAAACTAGAATTTTTATAATTAATTATTAGCTCAAAAAAATTGATTCTTATTACTTTTAAAACCAAAAATTTTACAAGAGAATTAATAAAAAAAAACTCAAAAGAAAAACAAAAAAATAATTCAACAAAAAAGAAATAATTAGAGAAATCAAATTGTCAATTAGTTTGAAGAGATAGTATATTTGTTTAAATATAAGGATTAAAAAATAAAAAAAATAAATTAAAAAAAAACTATAACTATATTTGACAACAATATTGGCTATCGAATATAAGTATATTCGATAGCCAATATCGTTGTCGAATATGACGCTGCCCCAACCTTCCCAACAAAAAAAATTGAATTTCCTGACTACTTAAATTTCAAACATATTCGGTAGAATTTTTGTCAAATATATTTGAGATATAAATACTACTCCAACATCAGAACATCTCATTGTCTTTTGATTTTCATCTTCTTGCCTCCTCCCTTCTCCTTCTCCTTCTCCTTCTTTTCGCCTTCTTTCCACAGGTAACATCTCTCTTTGAGCTTCTTCTCCTTTTATTTTTGTTTTTCTTTTTTCTTTTACATTCTCCTTTTTATATTTTCGTAAATTACCTTTAATTTTGACAATCCATCATCTTCTTTCTTTTCATTCTTCTCTCTTTTTTGTTGAATTCTTATTATTTAATATACTCATAGTTTTTTTTTTTTCAGATTTTAATACATTGATTATAAAGTAATATGAGGTAAATTTTGTAATTTATATTTTTTATCTTCTTTTCTTTTTGAAATTCTTATTACTTTTTATACATTTTGTTTTCTGTTTTTTTTGGTAGGAACAAGAACATATTTCAAAATAATTAAGGTTAATGTTCATTTTAATTTTAATTATGATTATCTATTACTTTTTATATTATTATTAAAATTGTTTCATAAATATATTATTGGGGAACTTGATAATTGTGTTCGTTTTACTGATTTTTTATATAAAATTAACAGAAAA